AAACAATTACCAAAGTTTTGTAAGACTGTGCCACGTGCAGTGCTAAGGACAGAGTCAAGTAAATAAGTTCTTAGCATATAATGACATCTCATACCTCTATATTTGGGAATCAACTCTAATTTCACTATGAGAATAAATATCGATGTCTACAGTACAATCCTTGATATGTTAGCACAATACATGTTGAAAGTATGAAATTTTACTCATGGAACAGATATTTTAAGATTGTTCAGTACAAAAAGAAAGATATGGTAAATAATTAGTTTTGGTTTTCATGCATAATCATATTCCTGGTGCTAATATGCCAGTCCATTGAGATTTCCAAAAGAAACTGCTGTTACATATCTGCAGGGCAGAAACTGTATTAGGCAATGTTTTGTTACTGAAAGTCTACCACATAAAGACAAACCTACATATTTTTTACACACAAGATTTTGCCACATCAAAATATGCATGTAAAACCAAATAATCTATCAGCATTATTAAAAAAAAAATCTAACTGCCCTCAAAAACAAATATTTAGGGAAAATACTAGGTACTAAATAGAATGTACTTAAAAATAATGTCAAGATCCACCAGAGTTTGTTCCAGTGTCACCTAGAAAAGATGGAAATGCGTATTCATGCTATAATGAATCTAGCACATCCAGCATGACAGACATGCCATTGGAAGATATAATGAGGGAAGCCAAATTAAAGAATGTCTTTGTGGAGGGAAGCGTCTTTCTCAAAAAGAGTGTAAACTAACAGACAATAAGAGTATCAGACTGCACAGATATTTGATCAAATTAAACATTAGGGTAAATATAAATGCTTTGTGGTATTGATTATATGTGTAACAAAGTATCTTTTCAGACAGAAAAAATATTTTATTTTTTGTTAATGAAACTAAATATTACGTATTTATGGTCTGACCAGCAGCTATCCAAAAATATGGTACTCTTCAAAAACATAAAATTAATTAGGTGAACAAAACTTCATCTCGAAGTCATATAGCTGTTACATTTCTACAGTCATTTGAAATCTCTACAAAATACTGTCTAGAGATAGGATTACAAATGAACATTAGCAGATTCTAAAGTCTTTGGCACACAATAAAAATATGGTTTAAAAACGTTCAAATACTTGAATGTGATTTAAAAAATTATACTAAGTCAAAGGAATGTAATGGTAGCTCAGAATTTTTTAAATATCTGCATTTTGGAGTTCAGCTTTCGGACACATTAGGGTGACTATCCCCCTTTAAGCTTAACTTGCTTGTTTTTCAAAACACAAAAACTGATGGCTCCAAACACTCTTGCAGAGAACAGTAATATTGAAAAACTGAACATCAGCACTCTTAACTATGAATGAAGCCACAAAAGGTTTCTCATGTGTGATGTTGTACTTACAAATGCCACAACACATTTCTGAAATGCTTGTCTTTAAGAACCAAGGTCTTCTGGCTTATACAAGAAGCAAGGAAAATATCTGAGGTTACAATTTGATGAATAGACTTTTAATGGAACATAAGTAGTATAAAATTAATAAAAACTTATTGTAGCTTTTCCTTTTTCTTTGTAATTGTGATGGAAACAATGAATCATCACCCCTTACATTTGTCATATTATGCATTCCTTTCTACTTCACAGAAAGTTTATTTTCTATTTAGATCACTTAATCTGAGTTCCTCCCTTCAGTAGGAAACTATTGACAATCAAGAGTGTTTCTCCCTTCTGACCACCCACTTCTGTCATTTTTCTATTTATAGAGTTTTGGCTTCCTTGTACATTCTCTGATATTTCCTCCCACCTGCCCCCACTTCCTTTTCCTCTCTGTTCTTCAGGATAATTCTCACTCTTCTCCACAGAGTCCCCTGGGACTCTTTTTTAAATCTCTTCTGGTTTCTGATCCTTGAGACTTCACTCGAATCCCTTTTTGAAACTTCTTACACACACACACAAAAGAACTTCAGAAACTTCAACTCTTCTTAGTTAAAATGGAGAACCTTACCTGGCTTTTTCATTTCAGAAGCTCAACAAAAACATAAAATCTCATGGAATTAGTAAGGACTGAAGAACTGATAACACAATAATGGAATAGAGTTAAGATGACAAAAGCAGAAGTAGAATTGTACACACACACACAGAAGATCATCATAGTACCAGTGTTATAGAGTAACCCTTCACTAGTCACAGGAATTTATGAAAGCAAGGATGCTTTTCTCATTCACAGTAAACTTGAAACTTGCATGTGTGTTACCTGCCAGGCTACTCTCTCTTATAGCACGCTAGGCTCTCCTTAAGTATCCAGAAGAAAAGTTACCAACATCCAGAAGTTGTCAGCAGGAGAGGAAATCCTTTTCTCATTCACCTCGTGTGTACAGCAATAGGAAGAAAACACTCATCTCCTCCCAAGAGCATGCCTTTACATTTTGGCATAGCTGCTTCATTCAGCAACGTAAATCCTATTCAATAAGGGCACCTTCCTCAGTGCAAAGAAATGTACAAAGCCGTAACAAAACACTTCATCTTACCAAATCATGATTTCACCCATCATCAACATGGAGTCTTTTCATGGGCTGAACAAAGCAGCTACTTAGGATCCCCAGGCAAACCTACTGCACTAGTTAGTGCAGTTACTATATCCAGTCAAAATTATGAAGGGAAAAAAAAGAAAAGCAATTACTTTTTACATTAGTATTTGTATAAATTGGCTTCTAGTTTTGAGTTATTACATATATAGGGAAGAAAATTCTCAGGATTTAGGGAAGGATGAACACACTTGCTTCTTGAATGTTCATGCCACTGTAATGCATATATATAGCACAGCACCTAGAAGAATCATTACTTTGACACTCCTCCAGAACTGATTTTCTGCTGCAGTTGTAATTTGCTTATTAGCAAAAACCTAAGAACAAAATATAGCTTCTTTTTATAGGAGCTGTATGTAATCAACAATTTTTTTCCTTTTGCCATAATTTCTAAATACTTTTTTTTATGTGATAATGGTAGAAATATTTTGATAGTTGGACTAGTTATTCATTTAACGAAGTGAAGAGTTATCAAAAAGCAAATTAGATTAGCTGTCTCTGTAATCCCCAAATTAATATTGTGAATAGAATTTCTCTTCTTCATACACATACCACTGCTGAATGGCACAGAGGACTGTCAGAAATTTTAAACATTGCCATCACTAATTTCTAATACAAGGTAGGTGTATGTATTGTAATGCTGATTATAAGCTCCTATAGAATAGCAACATACTCATAACCATTTTCTTCATAAACAAGATTTTTAAAAGCCAAACAAATGACTATGTAGCACTGCTGATGAAACTAGATCCTGTTGGTATTGCATTGCTATTTTGCTATATTTTACTATGTTTATTTTATTGTATTCAAATTGAGAAGGAAAAAAGCAATAATATATCCCAACTCATTTGCAATTTTCTTTGCTTCCAGACTGCATCACTGAGATGCACGATAATATTCTCTGTGCTATGTCCAGAAGAGGTAAACTATTGAGTGGGAAATCTGTTTCACAAATCTCAGCAAGAATTATGAAATTCTGAGAATGTGGAAGACAGGTATTCTTACATCCGAAGAAATAAAAAGTCCAGACAATAACGTAGCATAGATATATTTTTCTGTAGCGAGGCTTAAAGAGACTATGCCCTTATTCTGCATTCAGAAAAAAGTACTTCAGATTCCTTCTAGAATCCAGTCATTTTAAGAAAACGTTTCACCACTCACAGCATTGCCTCTGCTATCATATCAACAGAACATAATTGACATGACACTCACTTGGCGAAGAAAGATAGGCAATAATTTCTTCTACTTTTTATGTTTTAAATCTCCAACTTGTTCTCCAAATATGGTTATCCCTAAGAATATATGACTTAAAAACCAGTTTTTTTCTTGAGATATAGAAAGCCTATATAGTTAACAAGAATATTTTAGAAGGGATTTTCTTATTTATATTTGACAGGAACAAACTGAACACACTGAATTTTAAAATTAGAGATTAACTGAGGTAGTATATGAGGAAATGAGCAGTGGATGAAGATACGGGTATAAAACATAAAATGGATTGATAAGAGTAAAGTACTAGCGAATAATCTGAGTTTCACATCTAATTTATTTATTTGAAGTCTTCTACACTGTACTTTTAGAGAATGGACTAAAATATCAATATATTAGGACCTGGTTCCTGCACAAATGACCTGAGTTAATAAAGATTCTTACCTGAAATTGTTGATGTGAGCTTCAGGTCTGTGAGCATGACCACTTAAATGCATATTAATTTTCAGAAATACAGACGTGAAAAGCAAGCAAACAATAACCTGACTAAAATATCTGAAGAATATTTTTTAATTGATTATGGTTGGTACTGACAGGCTTCTATTTTGAGAGGTATCTATAAATACAAAGGAAAGAAACAGAACAGACTTTTTCTGTGAATTGACATTCCATAAGTTTTGCAGCATCACTTGACTCAGGTTCCACAGGTTTCACTGTTATATTTTAAAAAAAAAATAATCTATCCTTTTAAATGTAACTAATTAGTCAATAAAACACTACACCTGGCCACTATACCTCCATCATGGAAGTTCATTGAACTAGATTTTACCTTTTTTCCTTTTCATTTGATTGTTTTCTAAATTAAAGGCTTACAGAGCAGCTGTTGTAAACCGCACAATTTCTAGAAAAACTGCTTTATGGAGAATGTTAAGGTATGTTTTAATTATTGCATAATATATTTATATACAAAAATAAATACATTTCAGATGCAAAAGTGGAGTTAATGAATAATGAGTTTTGAATACCTTACATGAACTGTTCTGTAAAAATAATAAAAGAAAAAACAAGCAAGAAAAAAAAAGATACCTACAGTGTGAAATAGCCAAGAAGAAAATAAGAATTCAGGTGATAGGTATTACTAGCAAGTATTCTATTGTTATTAAGTAGCTGCATTAATCAAATGAATTTTAGAAATTAATAAATGAATTGAATGAGTGATATTAGCACTTTACCTGCTGATGATCTCTAACAGCAGCTTCCACCCTGATTCTATTGTCATAGACTTCTGTGAGGTCTTCTTTACTGTTTAAGTAGTAGTTCTGAAAGATTTTATATTCTTGAGCTAACGACAGATTTTCTTTAATGATTTGCTCCAGAGCAGCCTAAAGAGAAAAGTAATTGATTACACTTACTGCAAAATACCTTTCTAAAAAATAAAATTATAGGTCACTTCCACAATTTCCCTGACTCATTCACTTACGAACATCTGCAAAATATAGATGACAAGATTGTGGTCTCAGTGAAAAAATGGAAAAACTGCAAATAAATTTCAAGTGGCTAGGATTTTGCTGAATGTATTTATACTGAAGTAAATTTTATTAATAAATAATCTGTACAGAAAATGATGTTGTAAATAGTTACAGTAGAAACTACTGAAAAGAACACATCCTCTAAGACCTTTCTGCATAGAAATTATCTTGTCTTAATTGCCAGAGAATATATCAAATTTTTCACCCACATTTTACTTTTCAAAGCTCTTATTTTCCAACTTATTTGTAAAACTGACACAATGCAACACTCGTATTTTCTTAATAAATTTAATGTTTTCGATTTGATTAACTTGATTTTACAGACTAACAATTTTTGACTCTCATAGTTTGCTACCAGGTGACATTGAAGTCATCTGGAATGTATGCTTCTGTAATAAGAGAAAATTCCATTCCTTTAAATCTGATTTGACTGAATTTTCTTTGATTATAATGCATAATCTTGCAACAGTCACATAATTTTCTAAGGTATTTTATCTAGGTCACAAAGATACAATCTGATTTAATTTATTTTTAAATTGATTTTTGACAAGGAAGTCTATTTTAATTTTCATTATTTTTCCATTAAAAAGCACTTGGGGGAAGGAGAGCCCAAGTAGATTTTTACCCATAGAGTTATTTGAATACTGAAATTTCAGAGACTTTTGACATTCAGAATTTCTTTTAATCTCATAACTATAAACCAAGATGTCTGACTATCACATTTCAAAATATTCCTTCAAATATGTTTTAAATGTACATCTTTAAAATGTCATGGCTAGTGATGACAGTACTACCCAGCAGGGAGGAGAGAAGCACAAAAATAACCCCAGTGAGCAAGCCTGAAACTCACTAAATCTACATATGGTGTTGCCTGTTATATTTGGGAGGTATTTCTGTTAAAAACGCATGCACATTATAACGTGGAGTGGAGTGGAGGAGAGTTTACAATTATGGGAGTGTGTAGAAGCCTGGGCCAACTAATTAAGCCCAAATGTCCACATGATGAGTGCCTGCCCTAATCTAAGGCAATACGTCTTCTAGTGCAAGTTATAGTCTAAAAGCTTTTAAAGGTAGAAGCCTGTCAATCCAGCAGGAGCGAGGGCAGCCCTTTGACTTGACAGTGAGTGAAATGTTACCACAGGAGGTGGGGAGCAACCAACTGTCCTAGTAGTTGCCTCATCAAAATCCAAAAGAAAGCAAACATAAATAATTTTGGTTTTATTTTTGAGAGAGGAATATTACATGTTATTCTGTTTACCTCCCTGCTGCTCTTCTCTGCATCAACAGAATACTTTTAAAGTCAAAGGGTGCATGTCCAAGGTAGGAAAAACATATTTTGAGCATAATGGAATTTAGATGAATTTTCCCAGGTTGCTGGTTGAAGGTCTAAGCCAACATTTATACATGAATCCTAAAAGAACCAGACCCTGTTGCTGCTAGTTCAAACTGTTTGAAAGGGCAACATAAATACATGTTGGGAACAATTCTGAAAAAACAAACATTTTAGCCACGTATTATAGCTACTAGTTTGCTCAGAACCCAGGAGGGCCAGAGAGCTTTAGTAAAATTCAAACCTTGCTCCTGTGTCTCTAAAAAAATCCTGTGAAGTAGTGGACTAATAAGTCTAAGTTCTTCTAGGGTCACAGTGATAATGTTGAAAAATCCATATGTTTTCTGAGTCTGTTCCCAAGTGGGTAATTTAGATTCTCACCTTTTAAAGACAAAACTATCCAAGGGAAATAGCGGCATGCCTGAACAGGTTTCTAGACATCCCTTGGAGCTACTTGAATTTTGGGAGTTCCCAAGACAGTTAGCATATTAACAATGATTTTACTCCGTTTTCTATATGATGTCTTAATCAAGATACATCCACTTTTGTATCTGGATTTATATTAAATTTCTGAACACTTAGGCTAGAGACTTGCTGTGGTTATACAACTAGTTAAAAAAATTCTTCCTGTACAGAACTGTCACTCTCTCCATCATTACAATACTAAAATGCTATGTGCCTTTCAGAAATCTCAGAGTAATAAGAAGAAAGATGTAGAATTTAGTGAAGAAGATGTTATTATCTCCTTTATTAATCTTTGGGTAGAGGTAAAACCTGTTTTTCAGTCTGATACCTTCCTTAACACACATATACTGCTTGATGTTAGTATGTTAGCATTCAATACCTGCACACAAGTAATGTTTTCTCATCACAGTATTTTCACATATGTAAGGGATATAGGAAAATGACAGAAATGTTTGCTTGTAGAACATGAACATCAATATAGCAGTTTTCACAAATGTAGAGAGTTGAGTTCAAACAAATGAAGTCCTACTACTTTGTATAATTTAAAATGGTCCAGACATTTTGACAAAGAATAACAACATACCAAAGAAAAGAAAATAGCCTTCTACAGATCTTATAAGACTCAGTGGCTATGTCTATATGACCAATTATACTAGTTGCTGAGTCCCAAAAATTGCTTCACCATATAGCTTATGTCAGCTGAGACAGATAAAGTGAAATGGTTCTTTTTCTCTAATTCACTCCTTTGAAAGATGAGCTGAGGTTCAGAAAGCAAAGAACATACATCCTTTAAATACCTGACTGTCACTCATTGACATTTCTACAGAGGATTTGCCAGAATGTAGGCAAGGGAAAAAAGTGTTTTTAAAAGCGTTTTGTCTTTATGAGAGAGGAATGGTCAAACTGTGATCAAACTTGGGATGCCAGAATATACACTACAATGTACACTACAACTCTCTCCTGTTCTAGGAGAAGAAGGATATGAATCTCAAAACTGATCGTAAGATATTTAAGTAGACATTCCTGGCATTTGTTTTATCTCTGGCACTCAAACTTCTGAATTTTTAGATTTGTGAACTGATAAAAAACACCATGATTCATGTGCTTGTTCTTTGGCTCTTCAGCAAAACTTGAAATCAAAGACTTCTGGTGCATCAGTCTTTGTCTACAGGTACCTTCAACTTCTTCAGACATTCTGGAACTGATGTTTGAAATATGGGAAGACATTTTCTACATGTCTACATTCAAATGATGTTACTTTCTTCAGTGGAAAAAAAATATAATTCGGGGGAATGTCTTGAAGTCTCTTACATGAAATGAAACTTGAGTTGCAGAGTAATCAAGTGAAACTAGCAAAGTCCATATTAAAAACAAATGAAAGAAGATACTTCTGTGCACTATGTGTAGTTAAGGTGTGTGGAATCTTAAGAATATCAAAAACTTTCAGAGATTTAAAAGGGACATAGAATTTCTAGGAGGTAATTTCCACTGAGTTTTATTAAATAAAAAAAAACCAAACCCAGGCTTAAGAGATCAGAAAGTCAGGTGATTCTTCTGGGGAAGTATTATAACATGCTTGCCCTGTTGTTACACTCTGTCTGAACATCTGGTATCAGGGATGGAATACTGGGCTAGAGGAAATTTCCACCTGATTCAGCACATACAATTTTTCCCCTTTATGTTCTTTTATTCAACACAGCAGCCTAGGAAGTGTCTCTGTTTTCCTGAACAGGAGGAAGCTGGAACACTTTTCTGCATGTTTGCTGAATACATTTGAAGTGCAGTTCCTGTCTGCTATAATATATGTTCATACTGAGATAATAAAATATGTGGAAGCAAGAAACAAATAAAAACACTAAATGCCCTCCTCAAAACCATCAACAAATTATTAGCACAATGGCTGCTGC